AATAGCTCAGGCATGTGCCCTTATTGGGAATGAACTGGTGACCTTTCGGTTCACAAGCTGACACTCAATCCACCAAGCTACAGCAGCCAGGACAGGTCAGGGTTTGTTTTTTTTTTTTTTTTTTAATTTGCATTTTACTGTTTACTAATTAGATTGAACGTTTTTTTATATGTTGATGGGCAGTTCATGTTTTCTCTTCTGGGAAATGCCTATTCATGTCTTTTGCCCTTTTTCCTGTTCACAATAGTTGTTTATAAATACAAATTATGGATTTGTAGGATAAAGTTGCTGCAAAAAGTTACCTCAGTTTGTTTAGCTTACCATTTTACTTATTGTGTCTTTTGGTAAATAGTTATTCTTAACTTTTCTGCAGTCAGATTTATCAAGTATTTTCTTTCATGGTTTGTTTCCCGTGTCTTAGTAAATTCTTCCCTATCCTAAGGTCGTAAAAATATTTTTCTACATTACCCGTCTATAAACACACATGTAGACACACTTAAATGTCAGACTCACCAGAAATTGATAGGTATGTGCACTGTTCAGTTTCCTTTATTTTTCCCCAAATGGGTAACCAAGCATTCTAGGTCTATACACTGGACTAGCACATCTTTTCCCTCTGCTCTGCACTGCCCTCTCTCATAAATCAGATGCTCACTCACATGTGTATTGACTTGGTATGCTGCATCTTTACTATATTATTTGTTGTTGTTCCTAATAATCTTTAACAGTGGCGTCTTTAGGGTTTTCTACATGTGGTGTCATGTCATCTGCAAATACTGACAGTGTTACTCCCCAATTTGGATGCGTTGTATTTCTTTTTCTTGCCTAATTGCTCTGCCTAGGGCTTCCAGTACTAAGTTGAATAACAGTGGTAAGGTGAGAGTGGGCATCCTTATCTTGTCCCTCATCTTGGAAGAAAAGTTGTCAGTTTTCTACCACTGAGCATATTAGGTGAGGCTTTGTCAAAAGTGGTCTTTTTATTTGAGATGCTTCCCTTCAATACTCATTTTATTGACTGTTTTAATCATCAGTGGGTGTTGCATCTTGTCGAAGGCTTTCTCAACATCTATTAATATGATTATGTGACTTTTGTCTTTTTATTTAGTTAATGTATATTGCATTAATCAGTTTGCATGTGTTGAATCATCTTTCTGTCCCAGGAATAAACCCTCCTGATTGTGATGCATGTGATCTTTCTAATATTTTGTTGTATTTGATTTGCTGGAATTTTGTTTAGGATTTTTGCATCTGTGCTCATCAGAGAGATTGGTCTTCAGTGTTCTTGTAGTGTGTTTGCCTGATTTTGGTATCAGGGAAATGTTAGCTACATAAAATGAATTAGGAAATATTCTCTCTTCAAATTTTTTTGGAAGAATTTGAGAAGGATAGGTATTACGTATTCTCTAAATGTTTGGGTAGACTTCCTAATGGAACCATCTGGTCCTGGGCTTTATTTTGGGAAGTTTTTCTTTTTTTCCATTTCTTATAGGTTATCGAATTTGCTAGCATATAGCCTTTCATAGTATTCTTGTGCAATCCTTTATTTCTATCATGTCCATTGTAACTGCTCTTTCATTTCTGATTTTATTGAGTCTCATTTTTCCTTAGTGAGTCAAGCCAGATATTTATCAATTTTACTCTATTTTTCTTTGTTCTCCATTTCATTTATTTTTGCTCTAATTTTTATTTCCTCTCTTCTACTGACTTTTGGCTTTATTTGTTCTTTTTCTAGTTCCTTAAGGTGTAATGTTAGGTTATTTGAGATTTTTCTTGTTTCTTGAGATAGGCCTGCAATGCTGTAAACTTCCCTTTTAGTATGGCTTTGCTGCATACCCAAAATTTTGGTGAGTTGTCATTTTCATTTGTCTCAATCTTTTTTTTTTTAAATTTTTTATTTCATTTTTATCTCTTTTTTTAGAGAGGAAAGGAGAGAGGGAGAAACACTGATGCCAGAGAGAAATATCAATTGCTCACCTTCTCATACATGTCCCAATCAGGGATCAAACCCGCAACTTGGGTGTGTGCCCTGATGGGAATCTAACCTGTAACCCTTCAGTCTATGTGACGATGCTCCAACCAACTGAGCCACACCGGCCAGGACTCTCAGTGTATCTTTTGATCTTTTTTATTTCCTCTTTGACCCAGTCATGGTTCTGTAGTATGTTGTGTAATCTCCACATATATGTGTTTTTTTTCCAGGTTTCTTGTAGTTATTTTCCAATGTTATACTGTTATGATTGAGAAATATGCTTGGTATGATTTCAGTATTCTTAAATATTATTGAGACTAGTTTGGTACCCCAGCATATGGTCTGTCCTTGAGAATGTTCTGAGTACACCTGAGATGAATGTATATTCTGCCATTTTGGTATGGAAAGTTCTATAAATAGTGGTTATATTCATTTGGCCTAATGTTTCATTTAAAGCTGCTGTTTTTTACTGACTTCCTGTTTGGATGATCAATCCATTATGTCAGTGGGGTATTCATAAGATCCCCTACTGTAATTATGTTTTTGTCAGGTTCTCCCCTAGGTCTGTTAGCATTGCTTTATATATTTTGGTGCTTCCTGGCTGGGTGCATATATGTTGATAAGTGTTATGCTTGATGAATTATCCCCTTTATCATTATGTCTGTCTGTCTTCGGTCTCTTATTACCTCTGTTGTCCTGAAATCTATTTTGTTTTACCCTGGCTGGTGTCACTCAGTGGATTGGGCACTAGCCTTCGAGCCAAAAGGTCACCAGTTTGATTCCCAGTCAGGGCACATGCCTGGGTTGTAGGCCAGGTCCCCAGCAGGGGGCGTGCAAGAGGCAACCGCACAATGATATTTTTCTCCCTCTCTTTCTCCCTTCCTTCTCCCCTCTCTAAAAATAAATAAATAAAATCTTTATATAAAAAATATATTTTGTTTCATATAAATACAGCAATACCTGCTTTTCTCTTCCTGCCTTTGCTTGGATTATCATCTCTACCCCTTTACTTTGAACCTGTGTTTGTCTTTGTAGCTGAGATGTGTCTCCTGAAGGCAGCGTATAGTTTGGGTCTTGGTTTTTACTCCATCTTTTACTCTTTGCCTTTTTAAAAGCCTTTTTAAAAGAAAGATTAGTTCATTCATTCATCCATTCATTTATAGAGAGAGGGGAAGGGGAGGAGACAGAGGAAGAGAAATATCAATGTGCGAGAAATATTGATGTGTGAAATATCGATTGCTTGGTTGCCTTTCATGTGCCCTCAACTGGGGACCCAGCCTGCAATCCAGGCATGCTCCCTGACTGGGAATTCAGAATTAAACCAGTGACCTTTTTGTCTGTGGGACAGTGCCCATCCCATTGAGCCACAGCAGTCAGGGCTAGTCTGTGCCTTTTTATTGGTGAGTTTAGTGCATTTACGTTTACATATTGATAGATAAGGACTTAACTAATGCCACTTTATCTTTTTCTTTTCTGATTGCTCTGTATCTCCATCATTTGTTTCTGTCTGCTGGTGTTTCCGTCTGCTATTTTAGATTGGTGGTTTTCTATGATTTTTTTCCCCTTAATTTTCTCTTTTATATTACATGTTTCAGCTTTAGATTTGTTTTATGTTTATGTAAAATAAAGTTTCATACATATAATAGTTTTTTCCTCTGATTGCGTCTTCATTCACCTGTGCAAGTTAAGTCACCCCCCCCCTTATGTTTCTGTTGTCACAAAGAAGCCCTTTTTATGCTGTGTTTCTTTCCAAATTGCAGAACTTAACTTAAAGTCTTTAAAATGCTCTTTCCCCTTTACCTTTGTTATTGTTTATGCCCTATTCTAAAACAGAGTTGCAATTTCCTGCTTCGATCTGTCCATTTTTCTCCTTCAAAGTTTTTTTAAAATTGACTGATTTTAGAGAGGAAGGGAGAAGAACATCAATTTGTTGTTCTGCTTATTTTATGCATTCATTGGCTAACTGTCATAAGTGCTCTGACCAGGGATCAAACCCACAGCCTTACGTATCAGGACAATGCTCTAACCAACTGAGTGAGCTACCTAGCCAGGACTCAAACATTTTAATATACTTTTATCTTTTTGTTTCAGGTAGAAGAGCTTCTTTAAACATTTCCTGCAGTGCAGGTCTTGTGGTGGTAAATTTCCTTAGCTTTTGTTTGTCTGAAAAAGCCTTCATTTTTTCTTCATATCTGAAGGTTAACTTTGCTGGTTGGTAGTTTCTCTCTTAAAATATTTTAAATATTTCACTCTACTCTCTCCTGGCTTGTAAGGTTTCTGCTAAAAATCCCAGGGATAATCGATAATAGGGTTTTCTTTGTACGTTACAATCTTTTTGCCCCTGGCTTCTGTGAGAATTCCTTGTCAATAAGTTTTTTGACAATTTTAATATAATGTGTCCTAGAGGTTGACTTAATTAGGTGTTCAGTTAGCAACTGCTGCTTTTTTTCCCTGTTTATATGAAATTCTAGAGGAGCTATAAAAGTTATTCTAGAAGAGGCCAAAGCAACCTATAGTGACAGAAGTAAGACCAGCCTGGGCCTCAGGGCTGGTGGCTGCAAAGGGACATGGGAGAGCATTTTGGAAGATGTCCTGTATTTTGACTGTGGTTGTACTTACACAGGTATATACATTTGTCAGAACCAACGGAAATGTGCTCCGAAAGTGGGTGCATTTTTACCATATGCAGTTTATACCTCAAAGCAGGGCAGCCAGGACAGAATATTCACATTAGAGATAATGTGAGCTCTGTTAGCTTCTTGAATTTAAGGGTTCAGCTCTTTCCATAGGTTTGTTAAGTTCTTATTAATTATTTATTTGATAAGCTCTCTGTCCCCTTCTCTTCTGTCTGCTGGCACACCCATTATCTTTGTTTCTCTTTCTCAGAGTCAGGTGGTTCTCATAGAGATCTTCCCTTTTCTTTAAACTCACAGTTCATTCTTCCCCCTGAGCTGTTTGTTTCTAGATTTCTTTCTTTGAGCTCCTAATTGTGTGTTCCATCTGGCCTGCTGTTTCCAGTGCTTTCTAATTCATTCTTCCACTCATTTGAGTTCTTCAGTTCCAGAATCTGTCTGGTAAGGTTCTTCTTTTGTTTATTAATTCTATTCCTTAGCTCATCGAACTGCCTTACTGAGTTTTTTCCATAACTACAGTCTTGAATTCTCTTAAATCAGTCTTCTGTGTCTTGGAGTTTGGTTTCTGGAGACTTTCTTTCTGAGCTTCCTTGTTACCTTGGTTATTCATGGTGCTTGATAGATTGTTTCTCTGCCTGGGCACCTGATGTAGTGAACTCTTCTTTTTTCGGTAACTGTTTTGCTCATTCCTCAGATTGAAATATACAAGGTCTTTCTTTTCTATACCAGCAGATGGTGCTATAGTGCAAGTTTTGTTTCATTTTACCAGGTCTGCTGGTACCTCTGGGATTTCCTGGGGCAGTGTTGCCTCAGTTGTAGAAAATGCCCTGTATTTCCCAAGGAGGTTGGTGTCCGGGCCATCTCATTCTCAGAGTACCATCCCTGTGGTGGGATGTGGCAGACAGTGGGATTCCGGGCCTGTGAGTTTCTAGTCCCACCTTTTTGTAATTGGAGGCTGCCAACCATGCTGGGTTATTTTAGATGTCTCCATACCAGGTTCTACCAGGATGGGTAGGTTGGGGGTGTTGGGTCCACAAGTCTTCAGATTTGCCTTCTTGCTAGTAATGGTGGCCACCAATCTGATGCTGCCACAACACCACTGTGCTGTGTTGCAGCCCAGTTTAGGTGCAGTTGGAGCCTGCTACTGAGACAGGAATATTGCAGGTTTAGCTGCAATAGTGCTATCCCCTCAAGCTGGAATGTGGCTTCTGTCGCCTGCTGTTGTGTGAGAGGTGCAGCCTGACAACTTCCTTCCATTGCGTCAGCTGGGGCCATGGTGGGCACCAGACTGCAACTGCAGCCCCATCTCTCCTTCCCCGTCCTGCCTCTGCTTGCTGCAATGCTACCTTTGGAGGGCTTGATGTGCAGGTCTCACATGTGTTTGTGTGTTGAATTATAGTTGTCTGACTTGCAACTGTATGGTGTGGGTATCACTCCTTTTTTTAGCCTGTAGGTCTCAAGCTGCTCCAGCACCTTTATCTTTTTTCCATTGAATTAACTTTTGTATCTTTGTCGAAAAGTCATTTGGGTATATTTGTGTCCATTTCTGAATTGTACTTTCTGTTCTCTTGGTGTTTCCCTCCATCAGTTCCACACTGTCGCAATTACTGTAGCTGTACACAGACACACTCCATTTTATTGCACTCCCCTTTCTTCATTCCACAGGTGTAGCATGGCTTGCAAATGGCAGGCAAGGCCCTCCACCAGCAAAAAGATTACAACTCACTTTATTGTAGTGGTTTGCAACTGAACCTACGATATCTCCAAGATGCCTGTAGTGAGTTTTGAAATCCAGTAGACTCATTCTTCCCACTTTATTCTTTCTCAAAATTAAGCTATAAGTTTAACAATAATCTTATCTAGCTCTACAAAAAATCTTAACTGGAATTTTGGCAGGAACTGTGTATCAGTTTGGGGGAGAATTGATATCTTTGCTATGTTGCATCTTCCAAACCATGAATTTGGTAAGTCTCCATTTATTTAAATCTTGTTTGATTTAATTCACCAGTGTTTTGTAGTTTTCAACATACAAGTCCTTACATGTTTTGTTAGATTTATGCCTAAACATTTTCGTTTCAGAAGCAATTGTAAATGGTACTGTTCTTAATTGCGGTGTTCACCTGGTCATTGCTAATAATGTAGAAACAGGTTTTTGTGTGTTTATTTTTTACCCTGAGATCTTGCTAAACTCTCATATTCCAGGTGGTTTTTTGTAGATACCTTAGGATTCCTACATAGACAGATGTCACCTGTATGACCATACCGACACCTGGGTTCCAACCCAGGAACTTGGATCCAGTTGTCTGGATATTAGGACTTCAAAAATTTCCCTTGTGACTCTAATAAGCAGCGAAGGCTGAGAACCACTGCTCTTTGAATCTATCAGCGAGCAAAGATGCCTTGAGCGCGAGGGTCAAGTACCCTGGCTGCCCCCTCTGCACTAGGGGACTCTCTTGCTGTCGGGCAGTATGGTTAACTGGCTTGCGCTTGGCTGCTGAGGAAGACAAGGCTGTGGGCCTAATGGCCTGGTCCCTTCTAACCCGGAACACGCAAGTAGGGTGAGCGATAACCAACCAGTTTTAATGAACACAAAGTACTGATGCGTATAAAAAGGTATTTTTGTCTGTCACTTAAGTATCCCCATTTTCTAGGTGGGGAGTTGTCTTCTCCATGGGCCAGAGTACCCATTTCTCCCATGACCTCAGCATCTGGGTGCATGGTGGCTCCGTCCACACAGGGCAGCAGCTGCCCGTGGGAAGGGAAGATGTGGGGCTGTCGTCAGCTTTTTCACACAGTAAGAATAGGCTTATTCTTGGCCTGAGAAGGCCCCCGACGTTAGGCAAAAAATTACTGCCGTCGAACGGATGTCTGTCCTGGTGCTTACGTATGTGAGGTAGGCTAAATCTTCATTCTGCAGCCTGTCCCTCGGCCTATAGCTCTCAGTTAGGTCTGAGTTCTATAAGGTTCATTCTCTGGCATTTAAGGACCCAGCCCTGCCAGGAGCACGTCTGCACCAGCACAACTTGAAGTATGAAGGACAGTGAAAGAGGAGGAGCCTCTAGGAGAACATGTTCCATGTGGGGTCATAAATGTGCCTTCCAGTTAGCAGTGGGAGGGCAGGAGCAGGTGAGCTCCTCTGCCCCCCTTCACAGTGGAGCTCAGCCCCTCTGTGTCCTGCCTCGGCAGCTGCAGAAGACAACAGCCCCAGGGTACAGGCAGGAGCTCAAGCACCAGTACCAGGGTGGAGTTAGTACCTGGGGTAAAGTAGGGTTACGGGCCACTGCCCCAAAAACTGAGTGGGCCGCAGGCAACCCCAGCACCCCAGTCACTTCACTTTACCAGAGCAGCTCCTGGCTGGCCAAGTAGAGAACGGTGGGCAGGCCTGACCGAAGCCTTCAGACAGTGGGCAGGGGATTCTCTATAAAGTATGGCTCCAGTTCTCAGTCTTAGGGTTTCTGTGGAAACCAGGTTGGTACTGGACTTATACTGTGAGGCCCCAGACCTGCTGGGCAACCCCTCCAGACCCAACACCAGAGTCCCTAAGAGCAAATGGGTCTAGAGCCATTCCCAACACCATCAGGGTTTCTGGTGACAGCAGTGGAGTTGCTGAGAAACCTCTGCCCAATGGCACTGGCCAATTGCAGAAATGCCTGCCATCTCTGGCCTGGAGGGCAGCTGCTAGCCATGCTGAGTCACCACCTGGCAGGAAACACCCTGGTGGAGGTTGGGGCATAAGCAGTCCCCTAGGTGGAGGCTCATTGGACACTGGGGAAGACTAGTACCAACCCTGGGGACCCTGAGGTGTAGGACACCTTGGCTTTTGCTTCATCCTCTCTGCTGTCCCTTGTCTGGACCCACCTTGCTTTCTTCCTGCTCACCCAGGGTTCTACTCCAGTTCTTCCTAGCTTGTGCCCCGGCAGGGAGCAGCTCATCCCTGAGACTCGAAGCCAGAGAGGCTGTTTCATCCACCTGCCCTGGAGGCCTGAGGAATCAGGACTGAAGTCAAAACCACAGACAGGTGTGAGGATAGGAGGAGAAAGGGATGGAATGGTGGCTGTGAGGGGCCCTGCGGGTCTGCTGTCATCAGCATCGTGTGCGGAGATGCCCGACGTGGGCCTGCAGAGCCTCGCGGATGCCTCGTTGCCAGTCTCGGGCCAGCTGCACTGGGGTCACTGAAGCCTGAGGACAAGGTTGCTGGGTCAGTCCTTTCGGGTGCTCTGCCCAGCCACCCTCCTAGGTGCACAGTCAGGTCTGGGGCCTGCTGGGACTCACCTGGTTCTGCATGCCCAGCTGGGCTCCATAGAGCAGCAGTACCTTCATGGCTCTGTAGTGGCCGTGCCGCACGGCCTCGTGTAGAGCTGTGTCCCCTTCCTTCCAAGAAAGGAAATGTTGGTGCTCTGCCTCCTGGGAGCATGCCCACGCTTGTCCCAGCTCCCTCTTCTTCCCTCACAGGTATGCATCTCCTAAACTCTAAGGGTCCCCATGGCACGTGCAACCAGGGGAGCAGTGGAAGCAGCAGCTCATCCCAGGCTGACCTCTGCCCCAAGGCCCCATTTCTCTGACTTCCTGGTGAGCTAAGGCAGCCCCGCTTAGGCTCTCTCCTGTTGAAGGGATGTCATCCTCTTAACCTCCCCAGCCATGGGAAGGGTTGGGTTGGCAGGTGCTGTCCCTGAGCTCAGGTGCCCTCAGTCACTGTCCCCCACTGGAGCTGCCTCAAATAAGTGCCCACCTTGTCCTGTGCGTCAATGTGGGCTCCACATGCGATGAGGTGCTCCAGGCACTCACAGTGCCCTGTGCGCACAGTCACGTGCAGGGGGGTGCTCCAGATCTAAGGGTGTGAGTGAGAAAGTGTCCGAAGGGCTGTATTTCCTCCAGGAACAACATTGTCCTGTGACTGCGCACCTGCTCCTGACAGGCCGCCCCACTGGGGTGTGCCCTCACCTTGTCCCGGGCATTGACCTGGGCTCCGTGGTTAAGCAGCTGTTTGAGGATGTCCAGGTGTCCTCCGCGGCAGGCCCAGAACACAGGCGTCCTGTCCAGCTGCAAAACAAAAGCACAAACCCTGTGACACTGTATGCCAGGTAGCGCCTCTACTTGGAGAGTGGGCCTTCCCTGCTGCTCACCAAGTCGCGAGTGTCCACAGTGGCCCCTGCCTCCAACAGCTTGTTCACCAGCTGGCTGTGACCCTTCAGGCAAGCCCAGTGCAGGGCTGTGCGGTGGAGCTGGAGGGTGGAGATGGGGGGCAGGGGTTAGCATGTTTTGCAGTGTATAATGTGCACCCACATTTTTGGCCTTGACTTTCAGGAAACCATTTTATTTTAATTTTTTAAGCTTTTCTTTTTAGAGAGAGGGAGAGAAACAGTGTGTGGTTGCCCCTGGAGCGCCCCCACTGAGGACGGAGCCCACAATACAGGCATGTGTGTTCTGAAGCAAACCAGTGACCCCCTGGTTCTCAGGCCAGTGCTCAGTCCATTGAGCCACATCAGCCAGGGCTAAGTTTTTAATTATTTTGAGATATTTGTTTTTGGTATTATAAAGGAATTTTAGCATTTATTTTTTAACATGTTATGGTACAGAAGTTTTATATAACAAATAATTACAAAACAAAAACATACAAGGTATTTCAGGTTATCTTTCCCTCCAAATGTTGGGCAAAAAAGGGTGCATTATGCACTGCAAAATACAGTAAGTAGGTGGAACATGGCCACCACTAGAGGTCCCACCCCTAATCCTGTTCCCAGAGCTGGCAACCTGAACAGAGCTGTCTGTTCCCGAATCTCGCAAAGGGCCCCTTCCTCTGGCTCAGCAGGCACCAGGGATTTGTGTCCTGTAACACAGGAAAGCACCCCAAAGACCCCTGCAGCTGCTGAGCTGCTCTCTGATTTGCTCCACCCTCGCTACCTTGTCATGGGCATCAGGGTCCCCTCCATCTGTCAGGTACTTGTCAATCAGGGCTTCCTGGTTCTCAGCAGCTGCCTTCAGGAACATCTCCAAGTCCACGGGCTCCAGCTGGGGCTGGGGCTGGGGCTGGAAAAGTTAAGGACAAGAGCAAATCCACAAATGGTAGGCCTCAGGACATCACCACTTCACTAAGTCACACCAGGTGGCCCCCACAGAGACACTGTCAGCTTGTACAAATAATAGGATTTTTAAAAACCCCATGAGATTCTGGCTAAATAGCTGTTTGGGTGAGGGGAATTAGGGGTTCATTTGTGTCCCCCAAGTTCATATGTTGAAGTCCTGGCCTCCAGATCTTCAGAATGTGACCTTAATTGGAAACAGTGTCATTGCAGCTGTAGTTAAGATGTTATACTGGAGCAGAGTGGGCCCTAATCCAGTGTAACTGGTGTCCTTACAAAAAAGGGACATTTGGAATCAGAGACATGCACCCAGGGAGAGTGCCGTGTGAGCATGAGACAGAGACTGGGATGATGTGTCCACAAGCAAGGGAACACCAAGCTTTGCCACCAGCCCACAGGAACTTGGACAGGCCTGGACAGACTCCCTCCCAGCTCCAAAAGGAGCCCATCTTGCTGACAACAAGACTGCGGACTTGCAGCCTCCAGAATTGTTTAAGCCCCAGTAGCCCCAGCAACTGAACACAGGGTGGGGGGCTCCAGAATGGACTGTCCAGCTCATCAGTTGCTGCTGTGCAGGTGTGGCCCAAGCCCCCCCACTACCCAGCATCTCACCCACCTTAACCACAGACTCAGGTGCCCTGGGGGGGACTCTACGTTTCAGTCGATTTTCTCTTCGTCTTTGAACCAAGTTTTCCAAGTCAGCCAGATTCTCCAGTTTAAGTCTGGAACTCGTAAATCTCTCCAGCTGGGGCAAAAGACAAAAGACCAGGCTAGCCATCAGCCACAGGTGCTGGGGCCTTAGGGCCAGGCTTGCTCTAAGCCCCATCTTTTCTGCCCAGAGCAGAACCACCAGCTGCTCTGGCTGCCACCCTGCATCACTCACTCTCCTCCTCTTCTCTTCTCCCAGTTTCTGCCTCTCCTGGGCCACGACCTCACGGGGTCCCAGCCTCCAGTTGCCCGGCCACACTCCAGGATCAGGAACTTCATGTCCATGTCCCAACACCTTCCTTTTCTCTCTTTCTCCACTTACCTGTGGGAACAGGGTAAGGATAAAGAAGAAAATTACAAGTTCTTGGAGAACCTAGCTATGTAGTGGGGGTCCTGACAAGAGCTGACCAACACAGGCCAGTGTCCTGGTCTGAGGGCTGGCCTGGCCCTTCTCAAAGCTCCCGGAGCCAGGGTTGCTGCTGGCTCTCACCAGCAACCACCCACCCTGTCCTGTCAGCAAGGGCGTAGGGTTGGGGGTGGTGACCCCACACCTATTTTTACTCCTGGGCACATGACACCTCGGCTTCCCTTAGGGGTTGCTGCCCTTACATTCCTACCAGATCACGCCACACTGCCACCTGACCCCAGTCTTGGAGGGACAGAGGAGATGCTGCCTGGGTAGTCTGAATTTCTGGGTTCAAATCTTGGCTCTTCACAGAGCTGCCTCTTCATCAGCAAAATGGTGTCAAACTAGCACTTAGCTCACATTGCTGTGCTGGGGCCGAGCCCAACGCCTGATGCTATGCCTGGCCTGTCCTTCCAGACACCCCCGCCCCGCCCCAGCCCAGGGCATTTGCAGCTGGGAGCACCAAGGAAGGAACATGCTGAGGGGACTAAAAGGTTGGAATGACAGGATGTCAGGGCCTGGGTCTTTCTTTCAAAGCAAAGTCTGGCAAGCCAACACTCCTTGGGCCCTGCAGCCACTCCTGCAGAGGCTGTACCAGGCTGGGGCCCACTGGGTCCTGTAACATCCTGGGCCTCCTATGTCCCGCCTCACCAAAACACAACCCCAAGTGTCACCAGTGTTCCTTTGTCTCTCAGTGTCCAGGGAACTGGAGTGCTGTCCTCCCTCCCCTACCAAGGCATCCAGACTCTCAGGCCATTTCCAGAGCAATTGCAATCCTGACAGTTGAGCTAAACCAAGGCCCAACTACAGTCACATTTTCCAAGGGAGCCTGTCCTTTCCTGCTCCTTTAGCCATCACAGCCCAGGGCAGAGCTTACTAAATTCCAGAATTTTCATGTCACCGTCACCCAACATTTTGCACCATCAGTTTCCCTCTGTTGCTCCCTAAGCCCACCCTCGCCACCTCCATGAGAACCAGCAGACAAATGAGAAGTTTCTGCTCCAAAAACCTGATCCTCAGACCACAGAAGCAGCTGCCTTCCCTCCTCGTTTTGCTGAGTCAGTCTGGGGGTCCCAGATGACTGCCTGACCTTCTGCCCCTCTTCCCACATCCTTACCAACTGCTGGACACTGACGACGTCCATGGTCCCCCCCTTCCCGCTCTCCAACCCCCAGTGAAAAGAGCTGTGAGCCCTTTTATAGATGAGCTGTCTCCTGGCAGCAGGCAGGGCAGGGAGGCTTGCACCTGGGCCAGATGACTCTGTGGCTCTGTAATTCCCACCAAAATACCAGCGTGGCCCACAGCCACACAGGCAGGAGGAGCGGCTGTTCTGAACTGAATCGGGTGTATCCTCGGACCTATACTGCGCCTGCGCCATCCCCCACACCTGCTCCTGAGTAATTCTACCATAGACACGTATTCTGGGGTGCCTGGGCCCCTAGCCCAGATGCAGGGGGGGATGGTTCCTACTTTCCTAAGTTCAGATACCACTTAAGAAGAAGTCAGATGTGAGCCTCCACATTGCTGTGGGTCTGGCCACCAGAGACCCTGAAAGGCCCAGCCCAAGTGTCCTAGTGAAAGCAGCCAGAACCCTAGAGGACCCGGGAAGGATGGGCCCCGGAGGCTGCCTTCTGCTTCAGGAACCCTCATGGCACTGACAGGGAGAGACCAGGCTTCAAGGGATTTTCCAGCTCCCAGCAATTGTCAAGGCTGCCCCCACTTCTCCCTCACTATTCTGAGGGCCAGCATCTTTAATTACACCATCAGGGGCCAAGTCCAGCCTGTCATTGGCACCTTGGCCCTCAAAGATCCATCTAGGCCCTGCATTCAGGTTCCTACGATGCTCTCCTGGCATGGGCTATGCCTTTCCATGGGGAAGGAGAAACTGACATCTGCTCCGGGCTCAAATACACAATGTCAACCATTAATCCAGTCACAAAGCAACCTGTCACAAGCCCCAAAGTCAAACTTCCTAAGCGTCCCTAGGGTGCCAGCATGCCCTTCAACCAGCTGTGCCTTGAACTATGCCTTAACCTTTGAAAGGAAATCTGATAGCCAGTAAATAAGACTCCAGAGTGGGAGCAACATGAGCAGAGATGACCAAAAGAGAGGGAGGGGAAATGTGGGTCAAGGACAGCCCAAGGCCCTGAAGGGTTGTCAGTGGCCCCACCCATGGCTGGCTGGCTAATTTGTTAGTTCTTGCCAGTTCTGAGACCAGAGTTTTTAAAAGAAACTCTATTTATGCTTCAGGGTATCCTGTCAAAGGTGATTTCTTGCCTTTCCCTATGAAGAAGGAAAGGGTTTCTTAGCCCCAAGTGAAGGGAACAGACAAGAGAAAGTCAGACTGGCTCTGGGCTGCACTGCCAGCCACACCAATCATGCTCCTCTCCCTCAGCAGTACCCGCTGGGCTTCATCTGAAACTTGGCCAAAAGCATGTTTCTTCCACATGAAACAAGCTGGCATTAACTCTGACTTACAATAAAATTACTCCTTGTAAAAAATCCACACATAATGAATAAGGCCCAAGAAGACCCCCTTCACTTATAAGCACTCTCAGCACAGTGGCCCTGGGGAGCCACGGTTCCGTTTGCTACATTCCCTCCTGACTTTGTTCCTGTGATTTTGTGGAAGTGCACATTTCTACAGACATGTTTTAGGATGCATCACACTGTGGTCACAGCTCAGCACGTTTCCCACATCAGCATATACCATCCCGTTGCATTGCATTCAAATCATACGTGGACCAGAAGGTCACCATCTCCTTACCAGGGAGAACCCTGGTTTCCCTCCTTCCTTCCTTCCTTCCTTCCTTCTTTTTCTTTCCTTCCTTCCTTTCTTTCCTTCCGTCCTCCTTTCCTTCCTTCCTTCTTTCCTTCTTTCTCTTTCCTTCTTTCTTTTTCTTTTCTTTCTTTTCCTTTCCTTCCTTTCCTTTCCTTTCCATTCTTCCTTCCTTCCTTCCTTCCTTTCCTTTCTTTCTTTTTTTGTTTTTAACATTACACCCCAGGCCCTAATGTGCATCTTTGTAAATGCCTCTGTAGATAAGTGTCTTTGTAGATGCTTAAACAGATGAATGTTTGTCTAAGTAGCTACAGAGAAATCGAATTATTGGCTATGTTCATTTAAATGTTAGCAACCATGGCCAAATTGCCATCTACGGTGACTGTGCCAGTTTCCGTGAACAGATACCGACAAAAACAAATGACAGTATGAAAGGAAAAAATATAGACATATAAAATATGCAATCAATATCCAGAATACATAAACAATTCCTGTGAGTCAATAAAAAAGAGAAAAATTTAATGGGCAAAGGATATGGACAAGTTCACAAAAGACAGGTGTCTACCTCATTAGTACTCAGCAATTCAAAATGAAACAATACTTTTAAATCTATCAGATTATTAAAATGAATGAGATTAAGGTATAAAAACATGCTGATCAGGTTTTGAGGAAGTGGGTGTTCTAATATGTTGCTCGCAGCAGGCCAGGAGCTCTCTCCAGTGTTCCCCATGCACTCAGGCATCTAACCTCCAGTGACTTTGAGAGGGGCCCCATTATAATCATTCTCACCTTATAGGTGAGGAAACAGGAACAGGTAAAGTGACTTTTACCAAGGACCTTAGGCTGGCAGAAGCTTTTAATTTGTTATATCTTCTTCCATGGTTTCTTCTAATATTTACGTAGTTTCATGTTTTTCAATTTAGGTCTTTAACCTACTTGAAATTTTGGCATGGGATGAGGTAAGACTATAACTTTATTTTTTCCAATGAGTAGATGTTTCCACATGAATTAATTTAAAATAGCATCATCTGCCCACATTTAAGCACTTGCAGCCCCCAAATCTACTCCCTCACTTCAGTGGCCAAAACTGGGCTCTTCCTGAGTCTTCAGGCCGCAGTTTCCCAACCTGCAGCATGGATGCTGACCAAAGCTGAGGCCCGGAGACCTAGTCTGTGTGTCCTCACATGGCAGCCTGAGACAGAAGGGTGGTGATTCAGCTGGCTAGGAGGTCCCGCAGGTCACTGTTGCAGGGCAGCAGGTCACATGCTAGTCGTGCCTTCCGATCCCGCACGGCCTTCAGGGCGGGGCTGTGTTGCAATAGGAGGGAGCAGATGTCCATGTGGCCCTTCTCAGCAGCCTGTGGAGAGAACAGCCTGAATCAAAAGTCACACCCTTACTGAGTCCTGCCCTTTTTTGCTCTACTTCTATTGGTCCTCACAGAAATGGAGACACTGGCTGTTTGAGCAGACTTCCCCTAATTCCTATGAAATCCCATGACTTGCATACAGATGGGTAGAAGACTCTAGCGACATTCTGGCAATTAGCTTAAGTTTTTGGTTCTTGTGTTCTTTGTTCAATGGCTGTTCTTCTTTGTCCAGGCTGTGCATTAAAGACAAGTACTGAACCTGGAGCCTCTAAGTGTCTCTTACAAACATTCCTACCACCTGCAGGTGCTGGGCACCACGAGCACAAGGGACATCAGGTGTGGACCCTGCCCTCTGGGAATTTCCAGATGAGCAGAGAAAAATGGGCCCAGGTTCCCAGCTTTCTCTTCTTCTCATTTGAGATAGATGATCCCAATCTGGATGTCAATCTCTAACCCACAGGTGGCAAACACAGGGCCCATGGGTAGAATCCAGCCCTCCACGTTGTTTTATCCCGCCCGGCACCTTGTTTCTACCGGGCGGCAGTGCCGAGCTCTCGCTTAACTATTAGGGAGTAGTTACACTTATACAGTCCTAAAGTTACATTTGGCTTTGAAGGCAACCTCAAGGCTGCTGTGGCCCGCCGTGAAAATGAGCTTGACACCACTGCTCTAACCTATCTCCGAAAAATAACAGAGTTAAGTGATTTACATAAATTATCTTATTTAACTTTCACAGTAACCATCAGAGGTGGGAACTATCATTATTCCCATTGTATATATGCAGAAAGTGAGGCTTACAAAAGTTAAGTGACCTGCCTACGGTCACAAAGCTAGTGTGGCAGCTTGGGGATTCTAAAGCAGGTCTGTCTGACCACGAAGTTTGAACTCCTAACAACTGTTATTTCACTGTATTCCCTACTCCTCCCGACAGACAAATGGATAATTATGGGAGTTTTTGAAAGGTCTCAAAATTAGTATTACTAGCAATGATTACCTCAAATTTGAATCCAAATCATTTTTAGCAGGCACTCTTGATAAATACAGACCTAGGTTCTCCATTCTGTTGCTTCAGTTCAGGCACTGGCACGTTGTGAGCAACTGTGAGGTGCATCCCAAGTAGTTTTTTTTTACCAAAAATAAACAAATAAAACCCAATGTTTGCAAGTAGTTTACTTCATTTATTTCTTTTTTAAAGTCAGGATTTTAAATTATTTTCTTTCTTTATCCTCACCCAAGGACATTTTTTCATTGGTTTTAGAGAGAGAGGAAGGGAGAGAGAGCACGAGAGACTGATGGGAGAGAGAAACATGACTGGGGCCCCTCTCGTACGCATGCCAACCAGGGGACAAACCTGCAACCTGGGCATGTGCCCTGACAGGGAATCGGACCCCCGACCTTTCAGTCTATAGGACGACACTCCAACCAACTAAGCCACACTGACCAGGGAGCAAGTAGTTAATTTTTTAAAGAAAGAATGAGAGGTCGAAGATGGCGGTGGCCTAGGAAGATGTTGAGCTCGCCCCCCGCCCCCAATAAGTGCACTGAAGTATATGCCCACATATAGAGAGAACAATTCCTCCTAAGATGCAACTGAGGGCAATTGAGTAGCTTTTGCATAACAAATGACAGAGTGAAACTGTCCAAAAGAGAGCTGAGGAACCATGGAAGCCCTCCAAGATCTGTGGGAACTTTCTGGGGTCGGAGTGCCACTGTGTGCATTCCCCTCCACCTCCATAGTGCAGGCAGGAGCTCTATCCAGATACTCTGGCCTACATGGAACATCACCACAGTATGTTCCCAACCACATCACCCAGAGCCCATTTCAGCTCTGCACCAAGGGAGCGAACAGGACCAACAGGGCATTACCACAGGCACCTGGGCTCCCCATCTGAAGCTGCTTTAGCCTGGCAGGTCAGTGCCTGGGGTATTAGAAGCACTTGTCTGGTTCTAATGGCCTGTTAAAAACACCCAGCACACACAACCTACACAGAGGTCGCTTCAACATAAGGCCACTTTTTCAAACTGGACAAGATACCTATTATGTCTAATTATATAAATTAGAATGTCAAACAAAATGAGAACATGAAGGAATATCTCTTAAGTGATGGAACAAGAAAAAATCCCAGGGGAAAAAAAACCCTAATGAAACACAATAAACAATTTACCTGATAAATCAAAGAAGTGGTTATAAGGATGCTCACCAAACTTCAGAGTAAAATAGAGGAACTTAAGGAGAATTTCAATAAAGAGAAAGAGTAATGAAGAACCAAGCAGCCCTGACTGGTGTGGCTCAGTTGGTTGGGTGTTGTTCCACAAAGTGAAATGTTGCTGGTTCAATTCCTTGTCAGGGCTCATGCAAGAGGTGGCTGATTGGTGTTTCTCTCTCACATCAATGTTTCCATCCCTCTCTTTCTCCCTCCTTTCCCCTCTCTCTAAAAATAAATAAATAAAATTTATCATTTTTAAAAAGGAAAAGAATCCAGCAGATCTGAAGAATACAATAACTGAAAGGAAAAATTCATTAGAAGTAATCAACCTCAGGTTAGCTAATACAGAAGACTGAATTGGCAACCTGGAAGCCAGACTAGTGGAAATCAACCAATCAGAACAGCAAAAAGAAAAAAAGAATGAGAAAAAATGAGAATTGTTTAAGGGACCTCTGGGAAAATGTCAAGCATGCAAACATTCACATTGCAGGGTGCCCAGGATGAGAAAGAGAGAAAGGAGCAAACTTTCCTCACCTGGGAAAGGAACACATGGTCAGGTCCAGGAAGCAGAGTTTTAGACAGAACAAATTCAAAGAGACCCACACCAGGATATATTGTAATTAAAACAGCAAAAGTTAGAGATGAAGTGATAATCTTAAAGGCAGCAAGAGGGAAACAAGCTGCATGCACAGGAAACCCCATAAGGCTATCTATCCACTGATTCTTCAGCAGAACCGTACAGGCCAGAAGGGGGCCTCAGGACATGCTGGAAGTGCAGGAGGAAAGGAACCTACAATCGAGGACACTTTGCCAGGCACGGTTATCATTCAGAGTGGAAAGAGAGAGTTTCCTGGACAAGCAAAACTTGAGGAGTTCATCATCACTAAACCAGCTTTATATGAAGTGTTAAAGGGTCTTCTTTAAGCAGGAAAGGAGAGACCAAAACCACAAACAAGGAAATATGAGAAAGGAAAAATATCTTCAGGTAAAGGCAAATATTTAATAAACAGAGCAAATCAGCCACTTGAAAAGCTACTAAGATAAACAAAAGACAAAAGCACCAACCTCAACAAAAACTGCAAGTAGTTAGAAAATACACAAAACAAAAAGATATAAAGCATGACATCAAAATGTAAAGTGTAGGGGGAAGAAGAGCAAAAATGTCCTCTTAGAATATATGAGAACTGATACACCTATAAGCTTAAAATACAGCTATATATGTAAAATAATATACATAAACTATATGGTAACCACAAACCAAAAACCTGCAAAAGGCACACAAAAAAATAAATAGAAAGGTATCCAAACAAAAGAATAAAGAAAACCAGCAAACCATAAGGGAAGTAATCAAGAGAAGAAGAAGAAAGGAATAGAAAGAAACTACAGAAACAACCATAATAACACCAAAAAGGAAATAAGTACTACTTATCAATAATGACTTTAAATGTATTAAATGCTCCAATAAAAACAAACAGGACGACTGAGTCCTCTCAGCTTAAAAGCCACGACCCATTGACATGCAGCTCACAAGAGACTCACCTGAAGTTGACAGACACATACAGACTGAAAATGAAGGGATGGAAAAAGATATTTTGCACAAATAGAAATGAAATGAAAGCTGGAGTAGCAATGCTCATATCAGACTAAATAGGCTTTAAAACAAAGAATGTAAAAAAAAGACAAGGAAGGCAAAAGACATTAATAACTATAAAAGGGTCAATTCAAGAGCAGGACAGAACCATCGTAAATATCTGCGCAGCCATCGCAGGAGCACCTCGTACATAAAGCAATTATTAATGGACATAAAGGAAGAAATATGCAGTAATACAAAAATAGTAGATTTTAATAACCCACTAACATCAATGGAGAGATAATTCTGGCAGAAAATTAAAAAGGAAATAATGGCCTTAAGTATCACATTATACCAGATTGACATAATAGACATTTTTAAAACATTTCATCCAAAAACTGCATAATACACATTTTTTCAAGTGCATGTGGAACATTCTCCAGGATAGACCACATATTATGCCACAAAACAAATCTCAGTAAATTCCAGAACATTCAAATCATATCAAGAAATCTTAAGCAACTACAATGGCATGAAACTAGGAATCAACAACAGTGAGAAGAAAACTGGAAAACACACAAATATGTGGAAACTGAGCAACATGCTGCTAAACAGGAAATCAGTAACTACCTTGAGACCACTGAAAATGAAAACATACAACTTTCCAAAATTTATGGAACATAGCAAAAGGGAGGTGTATAGCTATACAGGTTTACAAGTTTGTAAGGAGCCTCTGGGACAGCTTCAAGTGTACAAACATTAACTTCATAAGGGGTGCCAGAAGGAGAAGAGGAAGAGCAAGAAATTGGAAATCTATTTGTAAAAATAGTGAAAGAAAACTTTCCTAATTTGGTGAAGGAAATAGACATGCAAGTCCAGGAAGCAAACAGAGTCCCAAACAAGATAGATGCAAACAGGCTCACTCCAGGACACATCATAATTAAAATGCCAAAGGTTAAAGACAAAGAGAGAATCTTAATAGTAGCAAGAGAAAAGTAGTTACCTCCAGGGAAGTTCTCATAAGACTGTCAGCTGACTGCTCAAAAGAAACTTTGTAGGCTAGAAGGGATTGGCAAGAAATATTCAAAGTCATGAAAAGCAGGGACCTACAGCCTAGATTTCTCCACCCATCATTTAGAGTGGAAGGGCAGATAAAGAACTTCCCAGACCAAAAAAAAAATCTAAAGGAGTTCATCATCTCTAAAGCATTATTACATAAAATTTTAAAAGGATTTATTTAAGAAAAAGAAGATCAAAACTATGAACAATAAAATTGCAATAAATACATACGTTTCAATAATTGAATCTAAAAAAACAAACTAAGCAAAGAAGAAGAACAAAAGACAGAATCATAGAAACAGAGAGCATTTTGTGGTTTCCAGATGGAAGGGAGGTATGGGGAGATGGGTGTAGAGGTGAGGAGATTGAGAAGTACAAATGGGTAGTCATGGGGATATAAAGTACAGGAAAATATATGGAGTAGCCAAAGAAGTTATATGCATGACTCAGGGACATGAACAAAGGGGTGTGGATTGCCTAAGGGAGTGGGGAGTGCTGGGTAATGGGGGCAAAGGAGGAAAAACTGGGGCAACTCTAATAGCATAATCAATAAAATATAATTTAAAACAAAAAAAATGGGTAAAAATCATGCCTTAAGAGAGGGACCTAGAAGACTGAGACTAGGGTCGGGGGTTGAAGGGAAATTCATTTTAACAGTATACCATCTTGGACTCCTGAAATTATCTACCCCATGTAGGAATTCCTAGTCAGAAGTGTGATGAAATTATCAGTCCAGCTATAGCACGGAGAGTTGACTATGGGGATAGGCAAGAGTATGTGTTAAGATTCAGGGAACAATTAGGGAGAAAAGCACTCACACATATCACTAAAGGAAAGAAAAATAAATTAACACTACATTTAATTCCAGTTTACATGCATTGAATGAAAGGATGACACGCAAATTTGTGAATTGTTCCATATTTTTTATGTACATGCACAGAATAAATGCTGGAAAATTACACATTAATCCCAAAGTATGAAAGCGAACACTGAGAATAGAAATGATTTTTGTTTTCTACTTTATGCTTTTCCATTTTCCCCATGTTTCCTGCGGTGAATATGTTATACCTTTCATAACGACAAAGACCGGGTTTTTGAAGAGAGAGAGGAGCCATACCTTATGTAGACTGGTCATGCCATCGTCATCTACCAGCCTGGGGTTGGACCCATGTGAGAGCAGAAGCCGTGCAATCTCAGTGTGCCCACAGTAGCTGGCCCGGTGCAGGGCGGTGGCACCCCCATGTGTCTGGGCGTCACACTTGGCCCCATTTTCCAGCAGAAACTGGCATACTGCGTAGTGTCCATTGCGGCTGGCATAGTGCTGCAGGGAACAGAGACTGAGGTGAGACAGCAGAGCCAGGCAGGTGACTTGGTGGGGAGGGGTGGCATTTGGCCCCGGATCCTCCAGGGACCACCTCTATTTGCTGTGTGACCTGGGCAAATGTCTTCACGTCTGGCATCAGTTTCCTCAATCATTTCTACCTCACAGGAGAGTTAACGAAAACAAAAGTAAACAACTAATGTAAGGCACTTATCCTAATTAAAAGGTTCACATGACACTTAAAAGAGAAACCCTGCCCTGACTGATGTGGCTTAGTGAGTTGGGTGTCCTCCTGCAAAGTGAAAGGTCAACAGTTCCATTCATTCCCAGTCAGGGCACAAGCCTGGGCTGCAGGTCAGGCCCCCCAGTTGGGGGCATTCAAGAAGCAACGGATGGATATTTCTCTCTCACATCCATGTTTCCTCCCTCTCTTTATCCCTCATTTCCCCCTCTAAAAATAAATAAATAGGCCCTGGTTGGTGTGGTTCAGTGGATTGAGCGCTAGCCTGTGAATCAAAATGTTCTCAGGTTCGATTCCCAGCCAGGGCACATGCCTGGGTTGTGTGCCAGGTTCCTGGTTGGGGGTGCATGAGAGGCAACCACATATCGATGTTTCTGTCCCTTTCTTTCTCCTTCCCTTCCCCTTTCTCTAAAATTAAATAAACAAAAACTTGAAAAGTTATTAAAAAATAAAAATAAATAAATAAAATCTTAAAAAAGAGAGTGAAAGAAACCCTGCTGGGAGAGAAGGAAGGGAAAAGATAAAGACAAAGGTAAACTTCAATCCCTCTGCGATGCAGGGGTCCCCAAGCTCACCCCAAGTCCTTCCAACTCACTAGAGCGGTGTAGCCAGCCAAGTCGGGCTGGCTAGGGTCTACTGCCTTCTGGATTAAATACTTCACTCGGCCCAGGTCTCCATTAAGGGCTGCTGACCAGATTCCTGTGGAAAGACAACCAAAGTATGGAATGATGCTGAATGAGGACTTTTAATTTTTTTAAGATTTTATTTATTTATTTTTAGACAGAGAGGAAGGGAGGGAGAGAGAGAGGGAGAGAAGCATCAATGTGCGGTTGCCTCTCACACACCTCCTACTGGGGACCTAACCTGCAACCCAGGCATGTGCCCTGACTGGGAATCAAACCAGCGACCTTTTGGTTCACAGGCCTGCGCTCAATCCACTTAGCCACACCAGCCAGGGCTGAATGAAGACTTTTAATGTTTCCTTTATCTCTTGATCTTCATTTTTTCCATCCACTAAATCATAAAAAAATGGGTGCCTAGTTAATATTCATTCAACAATATTCATTAACTGAGCACTTTCAATGTGCCAAGGATTGTCCTAGGTGCAGGTGACAGCTGTGAACCAGACAAGGAGCTGTTGACCAGGGCAGGAAGACTGAGCAGACACAGAAATCCCTTCTCCTCACTTCAAACACACAAATGTTGAGTAATGTTTAACATGTTTGAGGAGCACAGAGCTCCAAGCAGCACGGAGCTTGTGGGCCTCGGCCTGCAGCCTGCGCCCCAGCCCCAGCCCCGGGGCCTAAGGGCAAGAGCTGCCCTTGGGTTCTGTGCAATGGCCCCAATCTGCCCTCTGTGTGTAAATTCACAGGGAAACATGAATGGATAACAACAGAAAATGGAACAGTGGAAACCAGAAATTTTGTACAGGAATATTTGGGAGATGTGGTTTCCTGTAGTCTGCCTGAAATTGGGACAAAATTGAACAAACAAGATGAGTTTGGTGCTTTGGAAAGTGTGAAAGCTGCTAGTGAACTCGATTCTCCTCTAACAGAAGTAACTGAAAATAATGAAGCTCCTCCAGAAAAGCCAGGACTTGTTAACAAATCGTGTTATGAAGATGGTTGACTGATCAAGATGACACTGAGTGACCTTCAGAAGTAATGAACTAATGAATGAAGCATATGAGAAATACATAAATCTATTGGAGTAGAAACAGAACCCCCCTAAATAAAGTAATATGAGATAACTTAATCTAGCATTGTTGACTTAAATTAGTGGTGGACAGAAATTTTAAAACAGTAACTTTTAGTCATACCAATGGAAAAAGAAGCTACAATAATGCTATTGGAAGAAAATATCCCTTAACTTTCTAATGATTGCAGATAATCACAATTTACATCTTTTTTTTTTACAATACCCTATGATTTTTAGGCTAGGCTATAGTTATAATATTCAGGATTCCCGAAATTACCTGTAGTGAAATCTAGTTATAAAAATTATGTATTTCAAGGATAACATTGTCATCTTAAGCTTATGTAAAATTGTAACCTGCTTACATCAGTCTCTGGATTTGGGTCAAAATACTTAATGACCTTTCCATTGGAAATAACTGGCAATGGAGAAAAGTTTTTGTTAGCTGTTACAGTGTCAGATGATGAACAATACTATCTTCATTTAGCAATATACTGAGTTTGCTGGTGCTATTTTTAAAAAAATTTTTAAAGATTTTATTTATTATTGAAGGCCACCTGGAGTGGCTGGCCAGGGCAGGCCTGTCTAAAACGTCAGAGGATGACGAGGAGCAGGAGGCACTGCCATCTCTGGATAAACCTGGCAGGTACTCCCAAGGGAACACTGTCCACCTTTATGAACTTCTGAAGAAAATGACTGGCAAACCTGAACCCAGGGTTGTTTCCTTTGGGGACAGCATGCACTCAGATATTTTCCCAGCCCATCACTATAGTAACTGGGAGACTGTCCTCATCCTGGAAGAGCTCAGAGGGGACAGGGACTGGAAGCCTGAGGAATTGGAGCCCCTAGAGAAGAAGGGGAAATATGAGGGACAGAAGGCAAAGCCTCTGTATTCATTATCTAATAATAAATGGGGCTCTTTTTTTTTATTGACTCCATTTTGGGACTGGAAAATACAGAAAACTCGTCAGTCTATACGTGGTCCTGCAAAAGAATCAGTACTTACAGCACTATTGCAATTCCAAGTATTGAAGCAATAGCAGAATTACCCCTGGACTACAAATTCACAAGGTTCTCCTCAAGCAATTCAAAAACAGCTGGCTATTATCCAGGTCCTCCACTGGTCTTAGCAAACAGCGAATCACTGACAACCAAATAACTTGATCTCTACTGAAAAATGAAGTGAAGAACCATATATGCAGCAAATGTACTGTGAAAATGTTAATTTTTTAAAAATAATACTGTAACGTGCTTTATAGGAACAAATTTTTAATGAAAAAAAGATTTTATTTATTATATTTAAAGATTTTATTTATTATTTTTAGAGAGGGAAAAGGAGGGAGAGAGGGAGAGAAGCATCAACATGTGGTTGCCTCTCACACAACCCCCACTGGGGACCTGGCCCACAACCCAGGCATGTGCCCTGACTGGGAATCGAACCAGTGACCCTTTGGTTTGCAGACTGCTGCTCAATCCACTGAGTCAGACCAGCCAGGACTGCTGGTGCTATTATTATAGAGTGAAGCAGCAGCCTTGAGGGAAAACAAAACAGTTTAATAAAACATTCAACTTCTTCATTAAAAAAATAAAATATATAGTCAAATTCAAAAGCAAGAAGAGGACACTGCCCGGTGCCAGGACAAGGTGAAAACCACAGCCAAGGTGGTGAGCCAGCACTGAGATTATAGGATCCAAAGAGTTCTCAGAACTAGACACACACCTCAGAGGCTTTGGGTCCCATGCTGGAGCAGAGTCTGGGGCAAAGACTGCAGGCCACATGCATGGCAGGGAACTCGGTAAGGCTCTGTGCACAAGGCCAGGAGCAGGCACAATATGGATAAACCAGAAGTGACAAACCTCCACTCTCCTGAGTAGCAGCAGGAAGCAAGTCGCCATGCCCGGGCCCTTTACTCTTTCAGCAAATATTTACTGAATACTTACTATGCACGTGGTACTATTCTGCATACTAAGGGTCAGCTGAGAAAAAAAAAACCTTCCCCCCCAAATTTTGGACTTATGGAGCTTATATTCTAATTAACGGAGATAGGAAAAAAATAAACACACACACAATAAGTCAGGCGGTGCTAAGTGCTATGAAGAGAAACACTACATTTTGCTGTGTATAATGTGTATTTTTTTGCCCAAGTTTTTGAGGGAAAAATAAGGATATGCATTATACATGCCATAGTACCTGAAATACCTTGTATCTGTTGTTGTGCTTTATAATTGTTACATAAAATGTCTTGTACCATACATTCGAAAATAAATGCTAAAATTCCTTTATAATACAAAAAACACAAGTATCTAGCCCTGGCTGGTGTGGCTAAGTGGATTGAGTGCTGGACTGTGAACCCAAGAGTTGCTGGTTTGATTCTCAGTCTAGGGCACGTGCCTGGGTTGCAGTAGGGGGCACCTGAGAAGCAACCACACAGCGATATTTCTCTCCCTTCCCCTCTCGAAAAAATAAGTAAAATCTTAAAAAAAAAAAACCAAGTATCTAAATATAAATAAGTAACTGAATTAAAAAATTAAAATGAAAGATTTTTTTCCTGAAAGTTTGGGCCAAAAACATGGATGCACATGATACACAGGAGCGCATAATACATGGCAAAATGTGGGTAAAGCAGAGAAGGGGTATAGGCAGTGGTCAGGGATGGCATCTCTGATAAGGTGATCTGTTCATTTGAACAGAAACCTATAGGCAATGAGAAACAGCACCATTTGAATACATGTGAGAAGACAGCAAAGGCAGAAAAAACCTATAAAATCAAATGCTCTGACCTATGCAACTTGGAGGTGTGGGACTTATATCTACCTACATTACCCTTAAAGGACAAACCCCCAATTTAAAATGTGTCAAAAAACTGATCCAGACAAGTGAACCCTATAAGGGCCAGGCAGAAGCAACTTTTAAAAATGCCTTATAAGCCCTGGCCACAGTGGCTCAGTTGGTTGGAGCAACATCCCATAGACCAAAGGATCATGGGTTTGATTCCCGGTTAGGGCACATGCCTGGGTTGCAGGTTCAGTTCCTAGTAGGGCGTGTACAGGAGGCAACTAATTGATATTTCTTTCTCACATCAATGTTTCTCTCCTTCTCTCTCTTCCTCCCTTCCCTTCTCTCTCAAATCAGTAAACATATCCTTGGGTGAGGATAAAAAATATAAATTAATTTTTTAAAAGTGCCCTATAAGAATGCTCCTGTTAGCCAGAAAAGGTTATCTGTGAGCATCTCTTACAAAAGAAGTACACCCCCTCCATTGAGCTCAAAGATTAGAAGGTGGCAAGCAAGAAGCAATCTATTGCCATGCAAGACATTCAGCAAAATGAGAAAATGCATGCTCCAAATCCTGAGCTGGTCATAATGGTATAATCTAAGACTTCAAAACATTTAATGTATTCATGGAGATAAAGGAATGGAATCCACAAATCAACAGAACATTAGGGGGAATGAGCAGGCAGATGAAACAAAAGTCAATAAATTAAAAAGTAGAATCATTAAAATAAAACAACAATACAGTTCAATAGTATTGCAGACCCAGCTGAAAGGAGAATTGACTTGGAAATCACCCAGAATAAGGAGTGGTAAAGAGAAAAATATTAGAGGTGAAGAAACACAGAAGACAGAATGTACAAAAATGTCTAATATAGGTTTCAAAAATAAAAAACACAGAAAGAAACTGGATAGAATGGGAGAGAGGAAATGTTTTAGGAGGTAACACCTGAGAATTATTCTGAAGTAAAGACAAAAATAAATTCTCAGATAAAAAACTACATTACATGCCAAGGAGGATTAATAAAGACAAATCTGGCCTGGTGAAATGACTGAACATCAAGAATAAAAAAAAGCCCCAATTGGCGTGGCTCAGTTGGTTGGGTGTCATCCTGCAAATCGAAAGGTCACTGGTTTGATTCCTGGTCAGGGTACCTGTCTCGATTCTGGGTTTGGTCCCCTGCTCGGGTATGTACAAGAGACAATCCATCAATGTCTCTCTCGCACATCAATGTTTCTCTCTCTCCCTTCTCCTCTAAGAATAAAATCTTTAAAAAAAAAGTTACAAAAAGAAAAAATTCTCACCCACTAAAGAATTATGATCTGATTACTAGCAGAATTCTTAGCAGCGGCAGGTACAAGAATGTAAAGGAATAATATTTCCAAAGGATTGAGCGAAAAAAATAACTGTCAACCTGGACTTTTATACTAGCTAAATTCTCCTTCAACTGTGTCTGTGTGTGTGTGTATGGTGGGAAAGCATGCCCACTGAAAAAAACTATTAAAGGATATATATACTTCAGGGAAAAGAAAAATGAACTCAGAAGGAAGATATGAAGAAAAAAATATCCACACAACAAAAAAGATATCCGTGTGTGCAAAATAAATGAGCAAGCAAACAAAATACAGGCACACCTTTTATTGCACTTCACTTTATTGAACCTCACAGATGTTTTGTATTTTACAAACTGAGGGGAAGACCTTCCATCAGCAAAAAGATTACAACTCGCTTTATCGAGATACTCCCTTTTGCAGTGGTCTGGAATCACACCTGCATTATCTCCGAGGTGTGCCCGTAATGTCAGATTGTAAAAATTGCTCTGATGGAAGCAAGGTGATTTGTCGGAGTAACCTGGAGGCAAAGGGGCCCTACTTTGCATAGGGCAAGATTTCTTTCTCAACAGCAGCACAACCGACAGTGTGGGCCAGATAATTGTTTTTGGTAGCAGTACTGTGCACTGTGAGCTGCATGCAAGCATCTCTGGTCTCTATCTACTAGAGGCCTGTAGCACCCTCCCAGTTGTAGCAACTGAAATGACTCTAGACATTGTCAAGGGGCAGAACTGTCCCAGCTAGTTCTCACTACTCGTGAGATCCGTTAAGGAACCGTGGGGAGAGGTGGAGGAAAGAAAGCAGGTGGGAGAAGTGTTATTTATCGGGTCCCACGGATAAATAACGCTGAGGCTCAAAAAGGTTAGTTCCCCGCACAGTGCTGCCGCCCGCACCACAGCGGCATCCCCAGCATGGGCGCACATCCCTAGGCGCCCCTCTCTGACACCCGAGAGGCCCAGCTTCCCTCCCTGAGCGCCGGTCGGTGTTTCCAGTGGCCGAGTTCGTGCCGAGATCGGACGAGCTCTTTGAGACCCAGGGCCGCCAGCTCCCGACCGCCCGGGGCTATCTCCGGCTCCGCGCCTGCCTCACCCCTCTCGAAATCCATCTCGTCCAGCGACTGCCGCACGCCTGAGTGAGAGCAGCAGAGGCCGTCAGCACAGGGACCGGGAGCCGCCATGGCCTCGCGGCACAGTCTGCCTGTAGGTAGGGCACCACCCGGCTGTCTGCGGGACTTGACCGGTTGGTGTAGGCGGACCCGACGTCCAATCAGGCACCCGACTCTCCCGCGGGAGCCAATCGGACCGCGAGGAGAGACCCAGGCTGCGCGCCTCTCCGAGGGCGGCCGCAAGAGGGCGCCTCATGCTCAATGGTGGCTGCGGCGCCTAGGGCGGGACCAACTCCCCCGGAAAGGGGGCGGGGGAGGGGTGGGCGCAACGCGGGCCACTTAAGTATCGCTCGCTAGAGCCAGCCCTCCAGGGGTGTCTCCTCATCCCTGGGGCTCCCAGGGCAGGGAAGCGCCACCTCCAGGTCCTTCCCCACCTTTCCCGCAGCACCCAAGGCCCAGGAAGACGGCTCACCGCGGCCACTTGAAAGGCCTCACTACATCATCCCCTCCTCCAGCTCCTCTGGCCTATTTCGGCCCCTTTTTCTTTTTGTGTGTGTGCCCTGGCCAGAAATATAACCCTCAACCTTTCGGTTCACAGACCGGTGCTCAATCCACTGAGCCACACCAGCCAGGGATGGCCCGTTTCTTAAAAACCCGTGGGAGCCAGGAGCCACCAAGAGCAATGGTAAACCCAAGAGAGCAAAGAAAGGGCATTAGGTCATTAGGTTGTGTGTGGGACCCCCCCCCCACCCCCGCCACTTCCCACAGTGGGCGCCTAGGACACTCAGGGCTACAGCCTCTTCTGGCCACAGCAGACCCCCAGACCAGTCATGTTTACAGGACGCTTCACTTCCACGGCCTGTCTATGGACAATTTACAGTCCAGACTGGTCCCTGTTTTTCTTATATCTGTGGCCTGTACCACTCTTTGCATAGAACAGTGGCTTGGTGTGTGCTCGGTGGCCCTGGGTCAAGTCTCATGTCCCACAAAGCTGAAGCATTCCTGGCAACTAGAAGGCTGGAAATAGCCTTTCCTCCCCCTAAGATCCTTGGGAGCCCCAGCCTCTCAGCCAGAGCACACAACTTTAAGGGTCTTCCAGGAAGTTCCCCTTCTTCCACCCTCATTCCCACTTTCCCTTCCCAGAGTTCTGAGAAGTCAGTTCCTCTTCTGCTTTGACTCCCAATTCTGACTTCTTCCTCTGGCCAGAGGCCAAGGGTGACTCCCAATAGGCCTTGGCCCTGGCCTGGTTCCCAGCCCCACAGCTAGCATTGTGGGAAATCACTGGAGCCTGGGCTGTGCCCCGCCCCCTCGTCGTCCGGGCCCCCCCTCCAGAAGGGGAGCTGCCCCAGGACTATAGGAAGGTGGGATGGTCCAGCCTGACTCAGCCCACAGGGAGCCTTCTCTCGAGACCCAGGTTTTAGCCCAAATGTCTCATCCCAGTCACTTTTATTTTCTCCCTTTTATTTGTCAATATAAAAATACTCAAATATTTACAACAAATAAATATGTGGGGACACAATAAGTTACAGTTAGAAGCCCTCCTCCAGGGCTGGGAGAGGTTATGCCATATCTATAGCATGCCCACCCTCTCTCCCCCTCCCCCCACACCTCTCCCAACCCTGTGAAGGAGGCCAAGTATAAAATATCACTGAACCCCAGGACCAAGTGGGAGGCCCCTCCCCCCTTACCCCCAAACACACAGGAGGCTCCACTCCCTCCCTGAAACCCTGAAAACTTTCACAACCCTAGGAGCAGGACTAGGCCCACTCCAGAGCCCTGCACTCCCCCAGGGGTACAGCACCCTGCCCAGCCCACCCCCATATGTACATCCCTGCCCCCCACCCTGGGGACAGCTGGGGGTAAGAGAAGCAAAGTGATTGACCCCTTCCCCTTCATAGCTCCAATGACTCACCAGGAGGACCCCAAGCCAAGGGAAGACTCCACAGAAACAGGAAGACTGTGTCACACAAACACACCCATGTGCACACACACATACACAAACACACCCATATCTCCAACTTCTGCCTTGAAGTTTTGGCTGCTGGGGTCCCACATGTCCGTGATTCACAGCCCCTCACAGAGAGGAGGAAGACGCCTTCTGGGCGGCTGGTGCCTTGGTGAGCCACACCAAGTGGCAGTGCCCGTGCTGAGCAGAGCAGGTCCTCATGGGCGGGCAGGTGCTGGGCAGCACCTGTCCCAGTAGAACAGGTACCCGCGCCATGTCCCTGAGGTAGCTGGTGCCTGTGCAAAAGTAGGAGCCACAGCTCCCAGGCTGCCCCACCAACATGGTGGGGCTCCCTCATACCGAGGACTCCTCGGGGTTGGAGTCTGGCAGGGGCTGGCGCTGATGTAGTTTACGCCTTAGTTCATCTGCTAACTCAGGCAGGGGGTGCCCAAGCCCCTCGCTGTGGTCCTCCCCACCTAGTTGTAAGCGCACATAACCATTGGCATTTGAGTTCCGCCCACCCCCCAGGTGAAGCCGAGTTGGGGATGGCAGGGGCTGGCCAGGGATGCCAGGAGGTGGGGAAGGTGGCCCAGTCCCAGGCTGGCACCGAGCATGTCCAGGCACAATCTTGAGGGAGCCATCTGAGTAGTAGTAGCCAACAGGGTCCCATAGTTTCTCGTCGGTTTCGGGGCCAGGGCGGAAGGGGGGACTGGTGGGTTCCTTGGGAAGTTCCAGAGGGTATACCAGGGTCCTCTCTGCCGCCTTTGCTCCTTTCTCCAGCTCCTCCCTCAGCCGACGACGCAGTGACAAAACAAGCAGCAGCAGCACCAGGCACACGGCCCCCAAGGCCACCACAGCCAGCCACACCAGCCCTAGGTTTTCCAAGGGTGCCCGGGCCTCCAAGGTCAATGAAGGGCCTGCCACCACAGCAACCAGGTAGCCTTCAGCAGCCAGCCGTGCCCCCTGCTCCTCTGAAAAGCAGTGGTAGGCCCCTGCGTGGCGGGGCTGGGCAGCCATCACGACGAGGGCCTGTAGTCGAGCATCATAGAGGAAAGAGCCAGGCTGTTCTGCAGGCAGGTCTCGGCCCCCAAAGGTCCATCGGGCATGGGCGAGGTTGGAAGACAGGCGGCAGGGCAGTACCAGGTCTGTGCCCGCCACCACTGTGATGTTTTTGGGCGTGAGCCTGACTGCAACGGCCAGGAAAGGAGAAGGTGCAGAGTTAGTGCAGGAAACCCAGGGCCAAGGGGAGGTACAGACACTCCAGCTCTGGCCCAGGGCCCATCCCACTGGGAGGAGGACAAAGGACAACTCACCTTTCTTACTGCCACGGAAGTTACAGATGCCTGAGGTGTCTGAGACCATCACTTGCTGGATCAGCAGGGATCTGGTTGGGGAAGCAGGGTCCGTCAGCATCCCTGCTCCAACTGCCTGCCTTCCCCTCCTGGTCCCAATAGAAGCAGAGCCCTGCTTACCCAGAGTGGCCACCCACAGCCACACAGCGGCTGGTATTGACACTCCAGGCACAGTAGGGGTCCCGAGCAAGGATGCAGTCTGCACAGGAGCGGTACTTCACACAGTCGGCCAGGGGTAGCTGAACCAGCTGTGAGCGGGAACCTGCAAACAACAGCCTCTGCAAGAGAAGCAGTGGGCATAGGAGGGTCAGCCAGGCCTAGACACAGCCTGGGCATGGGGGGACTGCTGGGGGGCAGCACATGGCAAAAGAAGCCAAAAGACAGGAGAAGCAAGGATGCAATAATAAGCACCAAAGACCTCATGGAGGGCTTACTACAAGCCAGGCGCCATCCTAAGCACCTTAGAGACGACCTTATTGGAGAGGAACAGCAGCCCTGTGGGGCTGAGTACAACCACACACAGGTACACACACCCACACACAGCTCCAGCATGGTATGATAAACAGCGAGGGAAGTACGTTCTCTGTGAGGCCCAGCAAGCCCTCAAAATAGTACCAGCATAGCATAAGCTGTTTTCCTGTTCGGATGGTGATTGCCAGTCTGCCATTATTCCATATTCTGGGGAACAATTTAAGCCACAATAGTTGGTAAAAGGTGAGCACATGCAAGTTCAGGGTGTCACAACAGGCCAGAAAAAGGTGAGATGCCCGCAGCACCCCAGGGAAGTGGGAGGCGCGGGGGTCGGGAATGCTAGGTGCAACGCAACCACACAGGGGTCTGGCTGCACACAAGGCCGACAGAGCGCAAGGGCTGCCAGGACTCTGATTTCCTGGAACTCGCCCCAAGCTAAGTGAGATGTGCTTGAGGGCCTCCCCAGCCGCGAAGGAGCCACGCACAGGACTAGGCAAGGTGGAGAAACAGCTGCCAGTAGGGCCTGATTACTACCTTGCTCTGGGACAGGACCAGGCTTTTCATGGGCTCCTGGTCAAACACCTGCAGCTCCTCGATCAAGTGGACCCAGGGCCCCAGGCTCACAGCCTTAAGCAGCCAGCCATCTCCTGGGAGGGAGGGGAAGGACAGATATTAAGGAGGGCACGAGGGCCTCGAGGCATCCCCAGATCATCCTATCCGGACACACAGGCCTTCGGCCAGCCTCCAGCAGCCAGGCCCACATGCCTACGTGCCTACCTGTGCCAATGAACAGCACTGTATAGGAGGCTCCATCAAGCCCCGTGACCCGGTCTGCCACCAGGTGAGTGAAGTTGGTGTCCTTCTTCACAAGCAGGGGCCGGCCCCAGCGAGGCCTCACCTTCTCTTCCATCAGCGGGTGTTTCTTGATGAAGTTGAGGGTGTTGTCAGGCAACTCCAGGGAACTGGTGTAGCCGTGGTGCCGGTGCCAGTTGTTGATGCACTGGGGGGTTGAGGATGGGGGACAGTGGTCAGCCTGTGGGAGTGGCACTGGGGTGAGGGCAGCAGCATGCCCCTCCCTGGACAACTCACCGAGCCCGGCCGCGGGATGGGTATGGGGTCAGTATAGAGGCCCCACTTCTGGGACTGCTCGCGGTACTCCTTGTAGGGACCCTCAAACACCTTCTGGATGTCTCCCAACTGGTACTCGCAGATGGCTGACAGGTCCACATCACCCCTGTCACAGCAAGGGAGGGGTCCCAAGGGTCAGGTTTGGTGCCCACTTTACCTCTGCTCAGGGCATGTTGGGGGAAGGCAGGGCCCAGCACAAAGCACTTATGGGCACACACAA